AATCCGTGCATGCCAGTTGTTGGCTCAAAAGAATGAAGGAATAGTATTGGTAGGAGTTGCTGGTCCTTCTGGGGCTGGAAAGACTATATTTACAGAAAAGATAGTCAACTTTATGCCCAGCGTTGCTGTCATATCAATGGACAACTACAATGATGCCAGTCGGATTGTCGATGGCAACTTTGATGGTAAATCATTACCTCACTTAGTTTTCTCTTGTTTTGAAGCTTTAATATATATGTTTTCTGAGGAAGTACAACAATGAACACATACTTATGGTGCACAATGTTTTTGGTTATATAATTATTAGTGTTTCTTCTTATTTCTTCTTATATTTTTATATAAAACAGATCCACGCTTGACAGACTACGACACATTGCTCCAGAATGTCAATGATTTAAAAGCAGGGAAGCCGGTTGAGGTTCCAGTTTATGACTTCAAGTCTAGTTCCCGCACAGGATACAGGTTGAATACCTTTCCTGCATAGATTAGCATATCCTTGGATTTCTTTGACAAAGCTTTTGAATTATAGTATCACAGGGAAGATATGCCTTTTCATTTGTTACTCTTTGTTTTCATTGCAAGTATTGTGCGGTGATGTTCTGAGTGTTTAATTGTTGGTCATGGATGTAGTGAATTGTGAATACTTTTGTGCTTATTCTACGTGGGAATATGAAGAAACAACCATCTTAAGAAGATATCACTTTTCGTTTGGAGAATCATACCCTATATGTATTTTAGTTTAGAGCCTTTCTATGCTTCCTGTTGAAAACTTGAATTTTCATTTTGGCCCTTTGTTTCATAAGTCAGGCCATTTTTTTATATTTTTTTGAATAACTGTTGGTTATTTTTTTATAATTAATAAATTAATAGTTTCTATGGTCTACAACTTCACCTTTCACGCTTCCTGGGTGCTTTGGATAGTACCTTGGTAAAATTATTCATCAAAGAGATTGTAGTTTGTACATCTTATCATATATGTTTTTGGTGTTGCTTAAATCTTATCTTGTAGAATGTACTGGTGACAGGACAGTTGAAGTCCCAAGCTCCCGTATTGTGATCATTGAGGGCATCTATGCTTTGAGTGAAAAGTTGCGACCTTATCTGGATCTACGAGTATCAGTCACAGGCGGTGTTCACTTTGACCTTGTCAAAAGGGTTTTACGGGACATACAAAGAGCTGGCCAAGAACCAGAAGAAATAATACATCAAATATCTGAAACTGTACTTTTCTAACCCTCCTTTATATCATTAAGCACTTGATAAGTTGATGCTTTTCCAGATGTCTGAACTCTTTTGTCTACAGGTATATCCAATGTACAAGGCATTTATTGAGCCAGACCTTCAAACAGCACATATAAAAATTATCAACAAATTTAACCCATTTACTGGATTCCAGAGTCCCACTTACATTTTGAAGGTTAATATCCTTTCCATTTTCAATTATTCTGCTGCATTGATATTAGTTTCTAACCTAAGTTTTTCCATTTTCATTTAAATTGACAATTGAGTGTTTCCTTTTATTGCAGTCAGCAAAGAACTTGTCTGCGGATCAAATTAAGGCTGTGTTTTCTGAAGATCACACAGAAGCAAAGGAGGAGACGTATGATATATACCTTCTACCACCTGGTGAAGATCTCGAAGCTTGCCAATCATATCTGAGGATGCGGGATAAAGATGGGAAATATAGTCTAATGTTTGAGGTTTGCCTTCAAAACTTGTTTCTGTATTTTGTTTGAGATGTGACAGATTGTATAGGACTTAGGATTAAATTTGAATTTAGCTGAAATGTCAAAAGATTCCCAAGCACTTGTGAGTTGTGACTTCAGAAAATGTCTTTGCATGGACTTACATAATCAGACAGTGTACTGCACATTTCAGGAATGGGTGACAGATAATCCATTTGTTATATCACCAAGAATAACTTTTGAGGTCAGCGTGCGTCTTCTTGGTGGACTAATGGCCTTGGGTTACACCATTGCAACTATCCTTAAAAGGAGCAGCCATGTATTCTCCAACGATGGAGTGTGTGTAAAAATTGATTGGTTAGAGCAATTAAATCGTCGATATATTCAGGTACTGGGATTTTCTGTTTAGTGTTTACTGAAGTTAAGAACCACTTAATGCTTAGATGCTTCATGAATTTTGTATGTCCTTCAATATGGACACTTGCTCATCTCATTTTTTTCTCTTGATTGCATGAATGAATGAATGATTATGGGCTGATTAAGTGGATACCTTACTGTTCTTCTTTTGTACATTTCTGACCGCATCCGTTATTGTTCATTTTTTTATTTTTAAAACTCTTATTTGTAGTTTATTTGGTAACTCATGTATATCTAAGTTTCTCTGCTTATTGACCAAAAGGTGCAAGGAAAAGATCGGGTAGTTGTAAGATGTGTTGCCGAGCAGCTTGGCTTGGAAGGTTCATACATTCCTCGTACGTACATTGAACAGATTCAACTGGAAAAGCTTGTAAATGAGGTCATGGTATGATATCTACATCTTATCCTCTCTGTGTACTGAGTATCCGGCTATGATAAAACTTCAAATTGTTTAATGCCTTATCTTCCATCTGTATTCTTGATCTGATCATCTTGCAGGCTTTGCCAGATGATTTGAAGACGAGGCTTAGCCTAGATGAGGACCTTGTTTCAAGCCCCAAAGAAGCACTTTCCAGAGCCTCTGCAGATAGAGTTGCCATGAGAATTAAGAATCTCAAGAGGTATGATTCTTTTGTAATCCATGTCTAGTTTAGTTCTTTGTGCAACTCGGAGTTTAGATGTGTGGCCAGTGCACCATACTGAGCACATAGAAAGCCGAATCTGGCTGGTTCTTGCGTTTGAGATTTGCCATCTGAGAATTGGGTCTATATTTTGTTCTATCCATATAACATTGTTCTCAACTGACCTGGCAAAGCATTTATCTCAACTGTTCAGAAGGACATCATTAAGCATAAACTCTGCCTTTTTGTTCATTTTCAATTCGAACGTTGCTGGCTGCCTTAAACTTAATGTGACCTGAATTCATTTGACAGTGGTATGTCGCAGTCATATACAAGCCAACGGGACAAAAGTACATCTAAGCTTACCGGGTATTCTTCCAACAGTCAAAGGTTTGATGAGAGAAACACAGAGTCATCAGCAACACTAGAAAGCCAGGTAGGGTAACGCTTCTTAGTTCTTATCTGCTATTGGCAATTGGAGCCCCAGCAAGTAAATATAGTCACTCATCATTATTGCTTTTTCCTTCTCATTGCTATAGCACGGAGTAGCTACTCAGCTTTCAGAACAAATGTCTTCGCTGAATGATAGAATGGATGACTTTACAAATCGAATCGAAGAGCTGAATTCCAAGCTGACCATGAAGAACTCTCCTAGCCAACACAACATGGCTCTTCAAGCTGAAAACTGCAATGGCTCCGTTCCCACTTCTTATTTCATCTCTGGCTTAGGCAACGGTTCGTTAACTGGGGCGATAATGCCGAATTCCTCCTCTTCCTCACAGGTGAATAAGGAGTCTTCAGTGGTGGAAGAGGTACTTTCATACTCCTTTGCCTCCTAACGAAATTCGGGCAGTTCATAATTCTGAGGATTAACAAATAACAAGACGCGTATAAGTAGTAATGAAGCACATGATGCTAATTTTTCCTTCTTGACTGGTTCATTTATCTTCTTATTTCGCCTTCTCATTTGTCCTCGGTATTCTATCAGATGTCAAGCGTTGCACGGGGACAACGTCAAATCATGCATCAGTTAGACAATCTCAGCAATCTTCTCCGGGATAGCATGGGAGAGAGACCTCGTCCGGTAAAAACTAACAGCAGGAAGAACATCGTAGCCCAACCCGAACCCTTGACGGTTCCTCTTGCAGTAACGCTTGCAGTTGGCGTTCTAGGGGTGATCATATACAAGGGTATCCTAACTAGGAACTGATGCTGTTCCAAAATTTTATCAGACTCATCAACATTCACTTTAATTTGCTTAACCTCGTTTTCGTCCCTCTTATGTTTGTTGCGGTTCTACCCTTCTGGTCGGGAGAGACAACATATAGAGATGCAAAGCATAAGCTATCTAGCTTTCTGATCTCTGAGACTGAGAGTTTGTAGAGAAGGGTGCCTTTGGCAATTTTGAAGTTTTGTGGGGCTACTTTGAAATTTGCTAATTTTAACATATCTAAGGCAGATATTGAAATAGATAAAATCTCACAGTTGATCAATCTCAGTGTTTAACTTTCGTCTTTTACTCTTAGTGTAGATGATATCGTTTGTTCAACAGAAGAAAAAAAAAAAAAAACTTTCGTCTTGTACAATTATTAATAAATTCTTTTGAGCTTTTAGATCCGGTTCTAATTTCGACTTGTGGAATTAATTATTGACATTTCAAAACAAAATACCGTGCACAATTTTGTTCTTCGTATATTTATGAGTGCATTAAAACTCAATCCATTCTTGATATTTGAGAAAATTTTCAATTTGGTCCCTCGCGTTAAAACTGGAAAACTGTTACCGTCATTTTTCATTAAAGAATTTTATTCCTTTACGAATGACATGCGTGATTATCACGCATCTAATTACATGTCACGAGAGATCAAACATAACAGGTGATTTTTATTTTTATTTTTCACAATATTATTTTAATCACCCGAATTAAATAAATTAAATGAAAATTACATCGTATCAAATATGTGAAAAATAATGTAAACTCTTCATGTACTATTTGATTTGAGAACGCGAACCTTTATTTGTTTTTGGTTTTCCTGAGATGCTGACTTCTAAAACCGGAAAGGAAAGGGATCCTCTTTAGATCTCTTTCTCCTAATCAATCAAGTTCCCGAATTTCGGTCGTTGAAATTTGATTCAACGGCTAAAGTTATTATAACTTTTAAAGTGGACCCCTATTTGTAACCGTTAGATCAAATTTCAATAGCCTAAAACCCTGAATTTGGTGGATAACAAGGAATGGATACTCTAAAACCCAAAATAATAAAAAAGAAAAAAAAAAGAAAAACCCAAACTTGAACAGCAACCGGGCAACTAGCCGCGGATTTCTGTGCGCGCTGCTGATAGAAAAGGAACTCGGAAATGAGAAATGATCCGAGCTCGAAACCCGAAAGTCTAAACTGAATCCCCAGATACATACACTCCAAACCTCGTCTCTCCTTCATATCCTTCTCCCCAGGTAGCTGACACTTCTCCTTTTCTTATATATTCATGTATTTTCTGATATAAATTGGTTTTTTTTCTTTTTCCCTTGTGTGAATTGCTTTCATTGTTTCTCTATTCCAAAGATCTGATCCGTGACTTTATTGGGTTTGTTTGGATTTTTGAGAAACTTGATTGATTGATTGATTTGGTTTGGTTTAATGGAAATTGACAAGGAAAAAAAGCCACAGAAAGCAATGTTCTTTGTCGATATGCTTTCTGAACGCTGATTAAATTAACTCTAATGGTGAAAATCTGTAAATTTCAGAGTTGAATTTTTTTTTTCCTGTTCTGTTCTTCATAAGCAAATCGAACATATGCCCGAAATTCGTGGGTTTTGCTCAAGTTTTGATCTTGTTGTGAACATTTGGAGTTTAGGGTGAATAATTTATTGTGGAATTTTAGTTTCTGTAAAGCCCTTCAATTACTGACTGGTTTTGTTACATTGCTTTGTAGTCGATTGAGTTTAAATATACGAATGGGAGATTTTTCGGGTTGTGATTTGATAAGCAATTTGCCTCAAAGCATAATAGAGAGCATTCTTACGCGTCTCCCGATCAGAGACGCTGTAAGAACTAGCTGCTTATCAAGGAAGTGGAGATACAAATGGACTACTATCACTCATCTTTCATTTGACGAAAAATGTGTCACTATATCAAATGACCGAGCTCTTGTTGAGAAAAGCCTCATAGATTTTGTTACTCGAGCTCTCTTTCTTCACCAAGGACCCATTCACAAGTTCCAGCTTTCAACTTCTTATTTGCAGAGCTGCCCGGATATTGATCAATGGATACTTTTCCTTTCGAGGAACGATATCAAAGAGTTGGTTCTTGAGTTGGGTGAAGGTGAGTGGTTTAGGGTGCCTTCGTGCCTTTTTTACTGTAAAAAGTTGACCCGTCTGGAGCTATTTCGCTGTGAGTTGGATCCGCCTCCTTCTTTTAAAGGATTTTTGTGTTTGAAGAGCCTCGATCTTCATCAGGTTTTGGTTACTCCTGATGCAATCGAAAGTCTTATTTCCAGTTGCCCTCTACTTGAGAGTCTGGCTTTGTCGTACTTCGATAGCTTAGCTCTAAACATCCGTGCTCCAAATCTCAGATATTTGTGTCTTGAAGGCGAATTTAAGGATATCTGTCTTGAAAATACTCCGCTTTTGGTTGCCATGTCTGTTGCTATGTATATGACTGACGGCATTGCTGAGCACTTTGAGCAAAGTTCAAATTGCAATTTTATCAAGTTTCTTGGTGGCATTCCACTTCTTGAGAGGCTTGTTGGGCATATCTACTTTACGAAGGTAACATTTTCAGATGCTTTCGTTTTGTTAATTCTTCCTTTCTTTTAATCTCAAGTAGCAGTAGCATATATACGTTTCTGACATTGATACATTCTTTTGTTTATTTCCTTGTTTCAAGTATTTGAGTGTAGGTAATGACCTAGGAATTCTTCCGATTACTTACAATCGTTTAAAGATTATCGAATTATATCAAGTAAGTTTCGAAGATATGAATGAGATACTAGTTGTTCTTCGCTTGATTTCGAGCGCTCCCAACTTAAAGGAACTTCAAATCTCGGTAAGTTATTGTGAACATGTTGAAAGGTTACCCCTCTTTCTTCTTTTGTTGACCTTTCTATTAGTAGTTTTACATTTCTGTTAATAGTAAGGATTACTGCCACCATAGGGATCTTCAAATGCTTTAGCAGCAATAGAAGCGTCCGACTTGGATTTCTGGGAGAAACAATGCCCTTCTGACTGCACATTCCGAAGGCTTAAAGTTGTGAAGATGACAGATATGTCTGGAGTGCCACATGAGATGGAATTCATCAAATTTTTGTTGAAGAAATCGCCCGTGCTTGAGATGATGAGCGTCATGCCTTGCGCGTATGGTTTGGAAGGACGGATGAACTTGTTGATTGAGTTGGTGAGGTTTAAACGGGCATCTCCTGAAGCAGAAATTATCTTCATCCAAGATTAGTTTGGAGTCAATTTGTTTGTTTGAGAGAGCTGGCCCGTTCAATTGTGTTCTTGACAAATGACAATTTATTGATATTTTTGTCTACAAAATTGGATGATCAAATGGAAAATTTTACAGGGATTCCCTTAGAATTGAAGGCACTGCCGCCAACTGCCGTGGTTGGTAAGATGCAGCAAATACCAAACAGATAAAGGAACTTTAACAAAAAGTTCCCGGTACTGTTCACTTTAGCAGAGATTCCCAAACACACCTAGACCAATTGGCATACCAGCTCCGAACAGAGTTGAGACTTAATTTTTCAGTCAAATATGGAACTACAATTAGTTCAATGACGCTCGGTTGGATGGAGTCTCTCTTTATGGGCAGAATATTTATGGGCAGTTCACAAGAGGGTGTGGAATTACTTGAACTCCATGTTGCGGGCGAAGCGTGAGGAACTGAAAGGGAGAGTGGACATAAGCAGGGGGAAATAGTGAAGCTGTAGCGTTGTAAAATCATCGACAGAACAATCTTCACTTCAGTGGTTGCAAAGTTCATGCCTGCGCAAATCAAGGTCCCGTTGCAAACGGTAAGAATGCTGCTATGCTATTGTTAGTAGCTTTAGCAACTCCTTGCACAAAGCGGTCGGGTTTGAAAAGTTGCACGTCTTGCCCCCAAAATTCAGGCTCATGTTGGATTGCTAGAGTTGGGAAGACCACTTCAACATTGGCAGGAACAATGAGCTTTTCCAATCGAACCTCCCTATCGACTTTCCTCTCGATGGAAACAACCGGAGTATATAATCTTAGAGACTCGTTGATGATCGTACTTACTGTTTTTAGTTTGGCAATGCCACCAGGATTCGGATTTTGTCTGCCAAATAATTCAAGTACCTCCGTTCTTGCTTCCTCTTGACAATCAGTGTGGAGTGCCAGAAGAAGACAGTCCAAGCAAGCACAGTATTCGTGGTTTCATGTCCAGCAAAGTAAATTGTCTTGCACTCGTCCACCATCTCGTCCACTGATATCCTCTTCTCGTCATTGGAATCGTGATGAGCCTTCAAAACTAATCCAAGATAATCACCCCCGAAGCTCTCCTCATCTCCGATCGCTGCCTTCTCCTCTCTTTTCTTAATAATCTCTCGTATGGAGTTGCGCATTATTTTCTCTTTTCTTAATAATCTCCGATAGCTAAAAACGTTATTTGAATTCAAACAAAAATTTTCTGAAAGATTTTTTAGTTATTAAAAAAACACTTTCAAACGAGGCCTGATTCTAATTCAACAGTTATTTAATACCATGATTTTAACCAACGCTAATGAACTTAAAAAAATAAATTTTAGGTGTAAACACCATCCTCATCTTGAAACCTAAAAAAATTGGAATGAGAATTGAAGGTGGATCTCTCAACATTATTTATTTATTTATTTTTATTTGGAGCTTGAAACTCTTCCGGGCTTGGGCCAAGATAATGCGACATCAACGATCCATGGATACACGTGGGCCTTCCCATGCAGCCCAAACTTGAACCCAAATCTTGCCACCCTATATCTTTACTTATTTACGGTTGTGCCACTACACAGGCCGCCTACCCTATATCTTTACTTATTTACGGTTGAACCCAAATCTGGCTGTATATATAACCCAGCCGCCTACCTTGTCTCTCCGATTCAGTTGGAGGCGGGAAAATAAAAAAGCTATCCGACTCAAATCTTTTAAAAAACGGAAGAAAGACGGACAGAATCATTTACTTGGAACCAGATTAGGGTTTGTAGGGTTTTCGGATTCGGCGATGGCGAATTTCAATGGTGTCGTCGACGGGGATCAGCAATGGCTGCTCAATTGCTTGTCTGCTACTCTCGACCCTAGCCACGAGGTTCGCTCGTTCGCCGAAGCTTCGCTTAATCAGGCTTCTGTGCAACCAGGTAGTCCCCCACCTAAAACCCCCATCTTTCAACTTGATTTTGTTTCATTTCTTAATGTTGAGTCGCTGACTGAACCTTTTAGTTGCTTTAATTTTGTTTGGTAATTTGAATTCTTGCTGAAATGAGGATAATTGAGAAGAAATGATAGTTTTTTTTTTTTTTTTTTTTTTTTTGTTGGGTGGAGAATTTATGGTGATATGAATTGGAGTTTGGAGGTATTACTGTAATAGGCAGTGAATTATGCACCTTTGAGGTTGATGATTTGGTTCCGATTCTAGTGGATGGAGCGAAATATATTGTGGCATTGTGTATGTAAATTCGCTGTTCTGTCTATGGAGCGCGGAAGCATGCTGAAATTGTTTGATGGGTTTCTTGTTGTTTGAAGGTTTTGGAACTGCGTTATCCAAGGTTGCTGCAAACAGGGAGCTCCAGTTAGGATTGCGCCAGATATCCTTTTGTTATCATGGTTCTTTTCTCTCTCCATTGTGTTCATTATTTTCTTGGTCCATAACAAAAATGTGGTGAAAATTGGAGGTGATTCCTTCCTTTTTCTACTTGAAATATGAAAAAGATGTGCTTGAGTTGTGTTTTTTCATGCTGGATGCTCGATTGAAGTTCTCACCTGTAGCATACAGCTGGAATTATTTATTTCATTTCCTCACGTGTGAGACTTAACATACTTTTACCTAGCTGCTGTCCTTCTTAAACTGTTTATTAAGAAACACTGGCATGAGGGAGAGGAAGCATTTGAACATCCTGCTGTTTCAAGTGACGAGAAGGTATTTTCAGCAGTTGGCATTGCCAAGCGCTTTTGTTTTTGTACTTATCTTGAAAGATTGATTTTTGTACTTCTCTGCATTCCTTATCTAATTAGGGGTTGCATTTCCAGGTAGTTGTACGCAGACTTCTGTTGTTGTCATTGGATGACTCTCATAGGAAAATTTGTACAGCAGTTAGTATGGCTGTTGCATCTATAGCAGCTTATGATTGGCCGGAGGATTGGCCTGACTTATTACCGTACCTGCTGAAGTTGATTAGTGATCATAATAATATGAATGGAGGTAAGCTTTTTCTTATTCATGATCTGCACAATCTTCTCTCTTTTTGTCTTGCTGTCGGACGCACACACGTGCACTCTTTCTCTCTCTCCCCCAAATAATTCACATGAGGCTTTCCAACATGAAAGCAATTAAAATTTTCAATTAGGAATTGCCTGGTGGTACTAAAGTAGTAGCAATCAAATATGCATTGCAAAAACACAAATATGCAATTTTATTTCTCTCGTAAGGTTCTCAAGTAACTGGTTATTGCCTGGGGCAGCTGTTGAAAAGAAGTCTATTAAGTCTTTCGAACCTTTTTTGTAGTGGCTTTTCCTATTTGGAAGTCTAATAATTTTTGTTGCTGAAGTTCAATATTTTCTCCCAAATTTTGTAGTACATGGTGCTCTAAGATGCTTGGCTCTTCTCTCTGTTGACTTGGATGATACAGTGGTTCCGACATTAGTACCAGCCTTGTTCCCATGCTTGCTTAAAATTGTATCATCTCCTCAGGTAGGTTTTTTTTGTTTGTCTTCTTTTCTCATTTATTCGAGCTGTTCTTATCACATGTGCTCCAATTCTTTAGTAGCTGCTTTTCACGAGGGTTCTAAAGCTCCTTCTTAGAATGTCTGTTACGTGAACATGTATGAGTAATTGAGTAATTGAGGTTTTTTGTGTTTCCTGCAGAGTATCCTTCCATTTATTGTGTTCATTGTTTGTGCAGGTGTATGACAAATATTTTCGCACAAAATCCCTTTCAATTGTTTATTCTTGTATCTCCATGTTAGGGGTGATGAGTGGTGTATATAAGGTAATTTTTCATCCATTCTAATTAACTTCCCAGGATATGAAAGTGTGGTAAATTAAGTGTTTCGTTATGAATTAACAGCTTAAGATGTTTATGTTCAGACGGAGACCAGTGCATTAATAATGCCAATGATTAAGCCATGGATGGATCAATTCTCTACAATCCTAAATCATCCGGTGCAGTCTGAAGATCCTGATGATTGGAGCATAAGAACAGAGGTTGGTTTGGTGGCTTGGTAAAAATCTGTAATGATGTTTATACATTGTAATTAGATTTGTAAATTATTTGTCCCTTCTCCATTAGGTATTGAAGTGCTTGAATCAGTTTGTTCAAAATTTTCCTAGCCTTATTGAAAGTGAATTTATGAGTAAGTTGACCGTTCTTATCACTCAATGGATCAGATATATACCTTTTAGATTCTGGTTCTGCACATTGATAAATCCAGTTTTCATATCTCCTGCTCAACAAACCCTGTTTGTTGCAGTTATTGTAGGGCCTTTGTGGCAAACTTTTATGAGTTCTCTTGGAGTATATGTGCGGTCATCTATTGAAGGTACAGAAGATCCATATGATGATAGATATGACTCTGATGGTGCTGAGAAAAGCCTTGACTCCTTTGTCATCCAGGTAGTTGATCTATAGCATTGGCAGATAGGGTAGTGCTATCCACATACCCAATTTTACTTCTCACACATCCCTCTCCATTTTCGGCCGTTGGATCAAATGAATTGAAGATCAATGGCCAGTTAACAAGGGGTGTGTGGGAGGTAAAAATGGGTGTGTGAATAGCACTTTCCTTGCAGATATTGTCTCGTGTGCTTGTATTATGTTGCCACACAAAAATCGAACTGATATTTTTGTTTGATGTTTTCATAATCAAAGGCACGAGTTTATTGTTTCAGTTCATTTCATCTAGTGCATATGCTTTCCTTTTCATGTTTTAGGTGAATTTGTTGTCAGATTAGAGTACGTTGCATATCAAAATATTAATTATAGCTATATAATACTGGAGGTCTTTGGATCCCCTGAAGACTTGGATGTTGGCCCATTTGTTAGTTTCAAAAGCTCAAAGCTCAGGTTTTGGGAAGAAAAAAAAGGAGCAACATACCAATGAAATTCAGATTAATCGTAATGATATTGTGCACTATTTGATTATCAGATGTTTGAACAGTTAGAATAGAAATTCAAGAATTTGTGCTAGTGCACTATTCTTCTGCCTCACCCCCAAACACCTTTAGATGTATATGTAATTCGTGTCCAGAATTTTTCATTTTATTTGTTTCTAACTTATTTATTTTCTATATGCAGTTATTTGAGTTTCTGTTGACCATCGTGGGTAGTGCGAAATTGATAACGGTATGCTGCAAAGATTTGTAATTCCATATCTACTAGTTGCCTCCTTATTACCTACTGTCCTTTTATTATATCAAAATCTTTTGCTCCCCTTTTATTGCAGGTCATTATGAATAATGTCAAAGAGTTGACGTACAACACCATCGGTTTTCTCCAAATAACAGAACAACAGGTGGGAATGTGCTTTGCTATTCGTTGGTCCTTTCCTTTTTTACATCTTAGTACTGCACTGAGTGGTTCAGTAGAAAAGTATCAAATTTATTCAGATTCAGATCTTAATTTTTATAACTTCTAGTTTTAATGCTTGCAACACTTACACCTTAATGGTCCCAAGTTCTCTTTGCACATATTAGCTGAAGATAAAAGTCTCTCTTACCTTGGTTGTCATTTTCTTAGGTTCATACTTGGTCAATGGATGCCAACCAATTTGTAGCTGATGAGGATGATGTTACCTATAGCTGTCGTGTTTCTGGTACGCTTATGCATATCATATGTTAGCTAGTGCTTACGTAAACCATAAATCTGTGGACTGAAGATTGGATTTCACAGCATGGGTCCAGTTGTTAGTGCCAGTTAATACCTTTGAGAAACTCCAAAAGTTGGAAAATGAACAATGAATTCGCCTGGAAAACACATGGGTTTATGGCCAAGTGAACCGAAATGACTATCACTATGCCAACGGTTTTTCAAAAGTTAGAAAAATTAACTCAATTTTGCATGGAGAAAGACCATTATACCTTGATATCAGTCCAGGTTTACCCTTCCAAAAAGGGGTAGTTATCTTAGTTCTCCAACTCCTGAGCAAATGTTTCATTTTTGGATAATGATTTTTATTTTGAGTCATTTCACCTTAAAACCCCAAATATTTTAGTGGCACAATATTCTTTTTTTGTTGCATAAAATAGGGGTCGACCTTAGGATTCACTGCCTTCCCACCCCCCACCCAGTGCCACTTGAACTAGAGCTCATTGTCAGTGGAAGAATAACTGATGATGAGGGGAATACATCTATGCGTGTGTTATTCTACGAGTAATAGC